CCCTACCGCACACATTGTTTGTCCACAGAATAATTACACATTATTAAATAAAAAGCATCCCCACACGAACCTCCACCTCCGCCAGCAGGACCTCAATTTCAGACTAAGTAAAGTTTTTTTTCTTCTTTGTGCTCGTCATTCTCAAGCATAGAAATTCGGATATTGGCGTGTGCTCTTTTATATGGTAATGATATTAATTAGGGGGCATTTACAAGGCGGAGATTTGACACCAGTCAGCTGCGCACAATTTCCAGATCATTTGCGATTTATAAATGTCACATCTGGAAGAGAGGCGTACGCACGCGTTTTTGTGCGCACGTTCGTTTTCTCTGAATCGCACTTTTGAGAAATTATCTTAGAACAAATTTAGGACGGTTTATACGCAACATTTTATAAATGAGGCCCCAGGACACGCTGATCGGATAACATTCCGATCAGAAACGCGTTTACACTTGTCTTTTCAATGTGTATGTGGACAACATCTGGATACAGGTCGCATGTAAATGACAAATGTAAACGCAGCCTTTATGTGAGTTTTACCTTTTTTTTTTCTTTTTTCTGTGTTTTATTACTACTAAGTAGACAGAAATTAAATTGTGTATGGTCTCTTGTTCTTGTTCCACGTTACCTTCCTGTCCACTGATTTGTGCCTCTCACAAAAGCCACAAAGCCTTCCAAGAAGACTGTAAAGGCTTATGTTATGCTTGAGCTTTAGTTAGGCTGAAACTTGAAAGTTAAGTTGCACAACTAAATGCAATGTTTAGGTATTATTATTATTTTGATTACTAGTATTTTGATTTATGCCTTTTTATACACACAGGAGGAGGGGCTGACGAGACACACCTGGGATCAGAGTCTGACAGACTTCTTATCCGATTACTCGATTAATCGATGGAATAATCTGTAGAATACTCGATTACTAAAATAATCGATAGCTACAGCCCTAGTTTTCAATAATTAATACACTGCATAATAAATGATAACTGTTTTGAAATTATTAAATTAATGTCTTTAGAACGTATTGTGATGCAAAAATGAAGTCATGGTTTTGTGGCTTTTCATTTGCTAATTCGCTAAGGGATTCACCGAAGTTAAACTTTAGTGCACAGTGAAAGACAAAGGGTTTTTCGCATATACTTGTGTACTCAGTCTCCTGTCTTTGTATGCGTATGAGTAGTAAAAGTGTAGAGTGGCCACCACTTTATATTTATATAGAAGTAGGTAGAACAATAAAATGATCATATGTAATTACTGATTAAACAGTATCTGTCACACTACTGTTCAATCGTTTGTAGTCTGCACTTTTTTTTTTAAGGAATGAATGCTATTCAGCAAGGATGCATTAAATTGATTAAAAAAAAATGACAAAGAAAAATTACATTTATAATGTTGCAAAAGATTTCCACTTCAAATGCATGCTGTTCCTTTGAACTTTCTATTCATCAAAGAATCCTGAAGAAATGTTTTCAACATTGATAATAATCAGAAATGTTTCTGGAGCAGCAAATCAGCATATTAGAATGATTTCTGAAGATCATGTGACACTGAAGACTGGAGTAATGATGCCGAAAATTCAGCTTTGATCACAGGAATAAATTACATTTTAAAATATATTCAAATACAAGACAGTTATTGTAAATTGTAATAATATTTCAGAATATTACTGATTTTCTTACATTTTTGATCAAATAAGTGCAGCCTTGGTGAGCAGAAGAGACTTCTTTCAAAAAAATAAAAAAAGTCTTACTGAACCCAAACATTTTAATGGTATTTTAAACTATGTCAGACAGGTAAATGGACATTAATGGTAATCTAATACTTACATTGAAACACAAGGTTTTATCATCCAAATGCAACCCAATCATGTGAAAAGCTGCAGTCAAACACATATGAAGGCTGTGTCTTTACTGAGGCTTTACAGAATCATCTCGAGGTTAAACCAGGCTTTACATAATTCTTCAAAACCAGGTAAAAATGGCCAGTGAGGGGCTTTTCGTGGTATACAGGAAATATGATGCATCTTGTGCGAATATGTAGGGCTACAAATTTTGAGTCGTGTGTATGAGTGTGTGTGTGTGTGTGTGTGTGTGTGTGTATTTTCATAATTTTGGTTTGTTTAGGCAGATGATTGTGTTGCAGCAGTTCATGCCTGTTAAATCAACACTGGTCTAACTAATTTGCTCTATCTCTCTTTCTCTCTGTCTTTCTCTCTCAGTAAGAACAGGCTGTCTTCCACCATGAACCCGGTGTACAGTCCCGTGCAGCCGGGAACCCCATACGGAAACCCCAAGAATATGGCATACACCGGTATGTGATGAGAGACACACACGTGTATTTGAAGACAGCACAACATGCTTTATTAATAAATGCTTACTATATACAACTCATCAGTGCATGCTAAAAAAAAGAGGTTTGTTTTCATGATCTCTCATTAAAATGTAATGATCCAGCAATGAGAGGACATTTCTGCAAAAAATGCTGTTTTTATCATCATGGCAGGGTTCGTCTGATGAGCAGGAATGCTGCAGTGTGTTCATTAATGCAAACTTCACCTCTCACCTCTGTTCAGTGTGTGTGTGTGTGTGTGTGTGTGTGTGTGTGTGTGTTCATGCATGTAGAGCCGTGTGAGTGTTGTGTGCATCTGTGTCACTCATGGCAGGTGTTTGTCTGCTGCTATGGCAACGGTGGGCTCATATTTGATGTGCTCTTATTAAAGGGATTCTCTGGGTCAATAGAGACTGTTTACATGCCAACATCTCTCTCTCTCTGTCCCTCACTTTCAGTCTTTTCATAATGCCTTTCTGCCGTGACCAAGAGGAAAATGTTATTACTTAGGTTTTCTCACTTACGATTCAAGTATCAGTTTTATTTTAGAAAATCCTTTAGGAGAAATAAAATAGAGACAGATGTGACAGTTGTTGATATACAGTGAAAGTATCTCAGTTAAGCTGTAATTGTATAATAAGCAGTAATTTGATGGGAAATGAATCGACTTTGGTATCGAGACAAATTTGAGCACAATTTAAGACATTGTTGAGACCTCTTCTAAAACTCTACAAAACTCTGCGCTTATGCAATTAGAGGGGAGCTGGTCATTAGTTAGTCAGGGTAGTCTTGAATTTATTAATTGAATTTATTTGATTATTATTTGAATCTAACAGGATGTAAAATAGTCAATTTAATTGAATTTGAATTAAGTAGAATTAAAATGTAATCATATTCCCATAATATGAGACTAAATGTATACATATATTATTTTTTAATTTTAATTATATGCATTTTTTATTTTATTAATACTATATATATATATATAATTAAATATCTTGGGGAAACAATTGATGTATTAAAGAGATCTTATTTACTTTATTATGCGTAAGAGCATAGGAACTATAGGAACTAATATAGTACTAATATTTACCTAATATTTACCTGATATTTTTTATTAAAAATGTAGTTTCTCGACACATTCACTTACGCAGAAAGACCCAAATAAAAACAGACTTCCAGTGAGAGAAATTCCCCATAGAGGACGAGACAGACAGCACACAGGTTATTGGACACTTTCTTATAATAACTGTGTGGCATTAATAAATTACAAGTGGTTCTGCATGTCTGTCATAAATGCAGGTCGATGCAGGAATGAACTGAAGTGAATGAATGATCAAATGAAATTTTAAAGTCCCGTTTTAAAGAAAGTTGCGGGTCAGTGTACATGCAGCTGGAGAGAGTGTTTGTATCGGGACTGGAAACCCTTGTAACCAAATTGTGTCTTTGTGAGCGCTGCTCAACGCATGGACAACTTTTCAGGTCATTTTAGTGGAGAGAATGTATAGGACACTCTGTTCCTACAGACAAACAGTCTGATCTTCTGGTATCTACATAGACGAATATCACCATATCTTAGGATATAATTTGGTGTAGCTTGGAATGCTTTTAATGCATTTTTGTCTATTTAAAAGTGAAGTATGTTACTTAAAATAATTTTACTTGCTGAATGAGACCACTATATTTTTACCATTAAGCTGATTCCCGAAAAGTTTGTGGCTTTCAAAGTGTTGTTTGGGAAACTAGTTAGAAAACAGTCATTCTGTTTCCATTTGGTGCAGATAGTAATACGAAAATGACAAATTTCAGCTTTAAAGGGATACTCCACCCCAAAATGAAAATGTTGTCATTAATCACTTACCCCCATGTCGTTCCAAACCCCTAAAAGCTTCGTTCGTCTTCGGAACACAATTTAAGATATTTTGGATGAAAACCGGGAGGCTTGTGACTGTCCGAATTGACTGCCAAGTAAATTACACTGTCAAGGTCCAGAAAAGTATGAAAAGCATCGTCAGAATAGTCCATCTGCCATCAGTGGTTCAACCGTAATGTTATGAAGCGACGAGAATACTTTTTGTACGCGTAGAAAACAAAAATAACGACTTTATTCAACAATTCGTCCCCTCCGCGTCACCGT